GCCACTAACCTGATGTGCGACCTTGAAAAAGCCACTCTGCAAATCCCCCTTCGGCCTCTTATTTATAGCAGAAGATTGTCTGGCGCTGCGGGTCCAGCCTGAAGCTTTTCTGAATCCAATGACAGACCAGGGGAGGAGGAAAGCTTTAAACTGGACATTGCTGTCAGCTCTCTGGTGTCGGGTAAAGCCCTCCAGGCACACCACCTTACACTGTGCAACCTACATGGACGCCAAGACTGGCAGAAATGAGGACACCAGGAGCCCTCCTAGAATCTCTGCTGGGATATGAGACATTTTGGCCAGGATTCAGCTCCTCTGACACTAAACAGCTACAAGAGAGATGCTTCCATGTGCATTCATTGTTTGAACTCTGCAGGAACAATGGCAAGAAACGGGCACTTTTAGGGCAGTTTGTCCAATGTATTTTTAGATGTCCAATACAGTGTGGATGAATCATGGCCCAAAAGTGTTTGCTCCTCTCTAGTGACTATGAAAGGAGCCTGGAGAACTGTCTCTCACGCAGATAGCTGTTGTTTGGCAAGATGAAACTCACCCTTTTAAGTTGGGAGAAAGAAGTAAGGAAAGAAGCACCCCCATTGATTTACATTTAAGTGAGAAAGGGTGTCTCAACCAGAGACACATTGTGCAAGTGCTCTATGCTTCCCTCCCTCATAAACATCTTGTAACAAAATGATATGCAACCACCTTCACCGAGAGGGCTTGGCTTTGCTAGAAGTTTCATTTAGTCATTGAACTTGAAGCTTTCACCAAATATTCCTGCAAGCAAAGCTCCACATTGTTCACTGCACAAGAGAGAGCCTCCAAGAAGCAGGGCAACTTTCACTTCTTTCCCTGCATCATGTAGGTGGTTATTAACAACACAAGCCAACCCAGACCAAAACAGAGATCTCATTAATGCAAACTGAACCAAACTGATTTCTGAAGTGTCTTTACAAACGCTACATGGCTGTACACAGACTATTTTCTGCAAACCAACAACGCATGTTCAGCAGTGTTTCCATTCCCCCCTCTGCCTCTCCCTCTCACTCCATCATTTATCAACTTCTTGTCTTTCTCCTGGCAACCAACAGGCCAAAAGATTCAGAAAGCAAAACTTTTTCCTGTAAAAACCCACATTTCTGCCTCCTCCCTACACTTCCATGAAAGTAATTACAAGTGCTTTGTTTTCCATTTTAATTGTCATTTCCTTTGAGAGAACTTACAGCCTGAGCCTTAAAGCTCAGACGACTAATACCATTATTTTCTCTTCTTCCTCATCCCTGGCCACAAACAGTAATGTTTGTATCAGGATCAGCAATTCCTTAAAAACCTCTCAAGCCAATCTGTGCAGCTGCATTGTGTTGGGAGTTATCAGCAGGCTGCAGGAAGGTTAGAAAGCAAACATGCCTCCCTACAAGAGACCAGAGGCTGAAGCTAAGCCCAGAGTCGAAGCTCTGCCCCATTTCCCCTCCTGTGGGAGATAACAGCCTGTTCTGCATCAGCCCTTTCCCCTGCACAGCTTTCTGCTCCTTCCTCTGTGTGCAGCTGAGCTGAACAGAAGTTTTTTCCCCACTCCCTCTTCTGCCCCTGTTCTGGCCCTTTAGCATCTCCACTGAAGCAGCTTGCTTCATCTCCGGCGATGAACACTGTGATTTAGGTGATCTATAGAGGCTGTCTTCTTCATATCCTCCCTCACTAACACTGGGACTTGTGTGCAAACCATGAAGGTCACAGGAAGCTGGCTAGTATTCAGAGACATTTAGCCTTTCCATCTCCACTCTGCAATCCCTTCACAGACAAAATGCTCCAGACACTGGGGGTCTTTCCTCTCTCGACATTACCCCAAGCCAAAATAACGTCCATCCTTCACAGGGACTACTTGCTGCTGACACCCTTTATGCTCCACAGGATCCAACTCAGACCAGGAAGGGTAGGCAGTCAAATTCACATCCTATGGGGTAACATACACAGTACTTTTTGATTCAAAGTCCAGTAGGTATGATCTGCTCCTCCCAGGGAACCTGCACATCAGCACAGGAGGGAGCAGGGTGAACATAGCCTGTCCCTTAGCACGGACATACCACTTAAATTCCCAGACATATATTTATACTCCAGACCAATTCGCTCACATCAGCTGAAGTAAAAAACTGTCCCAGACCCAAACCAAGTCTCAACCCCTGCCACAGAGCACAGCTGGCAAAAATCAGATCAACCTGACCTCCCAGTGGCTATGTGGCCACCTCTGTCTCAGTTACAGGAGTCTTCCACCCACACTGGCCAGGGATGAAATTCAGGCAAAGGAAGATTAGGCAAGAGGTGTATGAAATGTCACCTTCTTTTTAATCGCAGCTTATGGATCCAGCCCCAAAGCGTTACTCATATAGCGCTCCACACTCCACACGTATAATCCCACCGCCTAATCCGACTACTTGTTCAAACAGGCACGTTGCTAGGAGTGGGTCCTTGCCATCTCTATCTACACTTTCAGCATTCCTCCAAGACCAGGTCCTCTCCCACATCTAAAAGTCCCATGACAGTTCAAAATAAACCACGGGAAAGCTAGGGCAAGTGTGGTGGGACACATGGCTCATTCCTTCAATGTGAGAAATGATGCTGCCCATTGCAACCTGATAGGTGCTCTCCCACGCCGACAGATCATGTCAGGGAAACACTTCAGTTGTGGTAAGCAACAGATAAGCATCTCTCTGCACATACACAGAAAAGCATCTCAGCTGGTTGACTTTTAAAACCAGTATTCATTGCGCCCTGGGGAAGAAAAGAAATTGGGTAAATCAGCTGAAGGGCACAGCTTTGGTAGGAAGAGTTTGGATCGTCTCTTCACATCTCTCTGTACAAACCCCACCATTGAGAGTCCAGATCCAAAACAGAGACGCAGTTGCTAAGAAAACAGCGCTGCAAACAGATGTCAAGAGATGATTCATGGAGTGAGGGCATATCCCTGTACTACAGATAAACCAAAATGAATGAGGCTCTTTATACCTGATCTTCCAAGCTGTGCTTCTTCATTCTCTCTTTGGGATTTTTTCTTTAATTCAATTCTATATTCAGATGTCGAGGAAAGGGAGCAGAGCTGAACTCACTGTTTATAGAATTAATTACTGGTAAAGGGGTTTTACAATGTCTATAATGAACCCAGTAAAAGGGCTAAACTGTGGCCCATTTTCCCCCTGAACCAAAGCATTTTTTTCTGAAACATGAAGAAACTTTGTCCAAAAACTTATCAGAAGAAATAACATAAAACCTGGTGTTAAAAACTGCAGAGGAACAAAGAGTAACCATTTTTTCTTTTGTTACTTTCCCTTATACCAAAGAACTTTAAATTAACAGCTAGGGAGATAAAGCATTTTCAACCTATTAGATCATTAGCCAGTAACGCATGCCGCTTCTTGAATTACTTCATTGTGTCTATGCTTAAAATCTTTGCCTGACAAATAAATAAAAAATAGCTAACACACTACAGGACTGGCTGAGTGCTACTGACACCAACGAAGTTCTCATTTACTTTAATGACTTTTGGTCAGATTTAGTTGGAGAAAAATAAGTTCCTTTGCCCCTCTTAAACCATCATGCTCAATTCTTAACATGGTATGATAGCAACAGTACTTAAAATACAGTTTCCTGAGGTTATTTGTAAAGAACAGTTTAAATAAAGGAACTTTGATATATGTTTTTATAGATAACTAGGGTAAAAAGGCAATTATCATTCATTACCCTTCTTTATGAAGAAGGGAAGAACAAACATTATTTATACACTTCTGAATGTGTCTGTAGAGCATCTCGCACAAGGGGGGCCCAAACATTGCCACGGTTACACATCAGTACAGGGCAAATACTTTTGTTGAGGTCACCGCTGATTTGCCATCACCCCTCCAAACTCCCGTGGGTCCCTGCCCATCCCTCTCTGCTGCAGCTCGTCCCGCTGCCATCGCTCGCAGATGCCAGGGCTCCCGCTGCCCTGCCACCACACGCTCACTTCGCACCACCCCGTCCCCTGCCGCTATGACATGCCGCCTTCTGCCTTAGGAATCAATTATTTAGGCTGCCCTGATTTCAGCGTGAGGTGGCTGTGTGTGTGTGTGTGCCTGTAGGGTGGTGGATACTGTTATTGCGGGCCGCGTTAACAACTGCCATCGTGCTCCTTCTCGGAGCTATAAAACCACCCCAGAAGTGGCCGAAGCCCGTGACTCAGCTAACCCGGTGCCGGAGGCCCTGTGTGTCCCTTCCGCAGGTATTGCATTTCAAACAGAGGTATGAACAGACTCACCCGCCAAGCTACGGTTTTGTTTGCTTGACCAACCATCACAATAACTAGCCAAGATCCTGCACATGGCACTTACATCTTTGTCTGTCTGTCCTGTGATGGGAGATCACCCTGAAAGCTGAGAGGGAGGAAAAACATGGGAATGATGGAAAGAGGCAGGGGGGACACACACAGACGGGACATGAGGTACCCTGCAAGAGGGAAGCAGAGGCATGAAGAACACACAGTCACTGATGTGACAAAGGTTGTGAGAAACTCTCGAACAAACTTGCTCAAAGTTTCTTCTCTACCTTCCGAGTAACTTGAGGAGTGTGCACCTGCTCCACCTCCCAACTCCACCAGCAGCTCTCAGGCAAAATAAAGAATAAACAACGCTGTTCTGGAGGGGGGGGACAGGGAGAGGACTGAGCCTGGCTTTAGTCATGGAGGTGAAGGGAGGACAGAGCCTTCCCTTAATTCCCCGCACACACGGCACCTGACACAAAGTCACAGACCGAGAGCCCCACGTGCTGCGTCCCATGGGCCGCGGTAACACTGACCCGCAACACCCGCGCCGAGGGGACGAGGGGCTGCCAGGAGCCCTTGCAGGGTGG